GTGAAAATAAGTAAAATACTGATTAATAGATAGACAATGCATTACGTGTGGTGGTGGGAGGGGCGATGCACAGAGTCGCTCAGTGTGCCCCAGGTCAGCTGGCTACTGTATTCGTTCGCATCCACCACCCGCTTTTTGGAGAGAATGAATATGCACACATGTGCAGCTTTCTTTGACGTGTACAGAAACGCTTCTGTATAACCCTCCTGCATTATTAACTTTTTAAATCAAAACACCAAAAGTGCACAAGTAAACTGTTTCTCTTGCTCGATGTCTCTTCAGGGACTGTCCCCCCTTCAATCCATGCTCAAAAATAATCTACCCACTCCCGCCTAGTTCCAATACAAAAGAGAAGTCTAGAATGACCCCCAAGTGACCATGCTGTCATTAAAACCTTAACGGTGGGCACAGTATCGCCCGGTCCCTCAGAACGGTACGCGGACTACACGGTCGCGCTCCAGTGTGCTTGCCCCAGGTTTCATTCTGTTATCATTGAGTTAGAGCTCCCGCCGGTGGCACGCAGCTATGCCTCTCCCTGACATCCACCGCCAGCACTTCTGGACTAGTATGGCACATTGCTTGTTATTATTGATTAGAACGTTTGCAATACCTGTAGGTCTGCTGGGAGATGTTATGCCAGGGAGGGTAGATTATTGAAAATGCGAAGTGGCACAGCCCGGGGTAGGTGGTCCCTTCTAACCAGCACGACGGGGGCACCGCGACGGGTTGAGGTGTTCCCCACTACTACGCGTCAGGGCTCCACACTCCCTCCGGCCTCCTGGTCCGGATTGTACTCCACGGGGACACCTGGCGCGGACGTGCTACTGGCTTCCGCTGGGTTCGCCTCACGGCTCCAGGCGGCGTCAGTACGTGATGGATTTTCGTCCCCTTGGGTCGCGGCCCACTTGTGGACCAGCTTCTATCACTACCGTCGCGCATTCGGGATCACTCCAGGGTTCATCGGCGGCGGCGATTCGCCGCCCACCTGTTCCACACGTGCACGCTGAGGATTTGGAGCAGGCGTCGTCGACTGATGTTGTTCCCCGGGGTGTCCTTTGGGGGGTCTCCGGGCGTACGGCGGTCGGCAGACGAGGTTCCTCTGCAGGAGTGGGCCGTCCCGTGAGCCCGGGTTATGGGACCGGAGCCAGAGCTTGTGATCGCCATTAGCTCGCGGCTACCTCCCCTCCCCCCCCTGCTCCTCTCCTCCTTCTTTCAGTCTAACCACACTTCATTATTTAATCTTTTTTTGCCCCTCCCGCGTCGCAGGTATGCCGACCTATGTTTCCCGTGAGACATGATTGGCCTCGCGGGCTAGCCCTTGTGACCCGGGTTCTGTTACCCTGTATTGCATAGGACAGGCCGCATTACTAGGCAGTGCCGCCAGGCGGCTCGGAGGGGCGTCCGGTTCGGGGACTCACACGGCTGTATCCTCATCTGGCTGGCAGTATTGCGGACGATGCGGTAGTACCTGTTTGGCTTCCACACGAACCAGGGACCGGCTCCGCACTGCAACAGGAGCGCGGATTTGCAGCCGCGGTGTTGACGCGGCTGGGCGTCTCGTGAGATCTAGCCGCACGCTCCGACATCCTTGCATGGCCATAGCGTGCACGACCGGAAAAGGAGCAAAGTTGCCGCCTTGCCCTCTCCAGGTGGCTCGGAGAGCGGTCCTTCCTCAAGCTGGAGGAGTTCAAGTCCGCTCGGGGTCTAGTTCCACGCGTGAGCTTGGGAGGGATTGGAGCGCGAGAAGAGATTGACAGGCGGACTCCGCGATGCCTGCGTTTCCGCCCTAGTGATGCTCTGGGTCGCATGTCCATCGCCCGTTGTGGTAAGATCGAGGCGCTGCGCAGCACGGCCCGCAAAGCAGATAGCTCTGGCATATACCTGGCTCAATCTAACGATCCTCCCTCCGCTCTGGTCATGAGCTCTGGGGTATATTGACACCGAGCTCCATGCACCGAGCGTTCGCGGCTACAGCTGCGCGCCAGACCTGCCAGCTTCCCTCCGCCGAGTGGCTGGGGCGTGCACCCTATAGCGATTACAGGCATGAGGCAGCCTTTCAGTCCTACCACGGAGGCGCTACGGTCGTAGAGCCGCTGACTAGACTCCAGTCTGAGCGGCAACCCAGTTGCGAGGTGGCTCGGGCCTCACGTTCCCGGATGGCCTCCTGGACCGCCTCCCTGGGGCGGCTGGTCGGGCACGTGTCCACGGGCGCGAGGCCCCGGGGCACGTCCCCAGGCACCGCTGGGAGAGGACTACTGTCTCATCAGTGGCCGTGGGACTAGACCGCCATGGTGCGTCCCTCCGCTGCCGAGCTGGCGGCACGTGTTCGATGCGGGGCCGGTGGGTGGGGAAGTCCTCGGTGGACTCTGCTTACTGACTAAGCTGCCCCCGGACCCTAGGGCAGGCGCAACGGAATCACAACGCGGCCCACAAATGGCTGGACTGGTATGATGGGTGGTATGCGTTTGCCCCAGCTGTCTTCCCTCACACCATTTGGTCGGAGGCGTCCACAACCACTAGAACCTCTCCCTCATTGTAGCGACTCGCCTCCCTTTGGCCCATATGCTCACTCTCCTCGACCCATCAAGCGAGCCTTCATCAACCCTTTACACCACGCCTCTGCTATACAAAACAATCTAGGCGGCTGGAACACTCAGATATCTACCCTTCTATGTGATCTAGCGTGTCTGCAACATCCTAGACTCCCCCACCCCCACCCAGCATGCTACCTCGAAGGCGACGCCCCCATACCGCCAGGAATACTTCCGCGTCACATATCTAATACATGTCTCCCTACGCCGTTCAGGGCTTCACGGCCCGATTATATGTATCACCACCGGTCTATCTACCGGCAAAACCTGACAAGGACAACATGTACACACTCTCCTAACAAACTCACAGCACAGATTGACGGAGTCGTTGATCGCTAGATCGGCCACTATATTGATCCCCAGAACGATGACATTCATTGCGTTGTGTCCCGCCGCCGCAGCGCCTCTTATGAGTGTTGTTGTTGTCCACCTCTGACAGCACACGGAACCCCAAGGCTCACATGAACACCACGCCGTTAGGGATAGGGTTAGGCAGCGGCGTTGTCATCTCACGAGGGAGACATGCCTGAGGGCTGATCCGGTCGCGGGGGTAGTCATTCCACGGGCGGTCCTGCAGCGTGGGAGTCCTATCACGCGGGAGACCTGCCGCGCGGCGGCAGGCCGAGGGAGAGCATACCCCGGGAGTCAAACCGCGGGCGTACGCGGGCGTCCTTCCGCGGGCGTCATTGCAGCAGGGTCGTCACTGCAGCGCGGGCACGTCATGGCAGCGGGTAATCCTGCCGAGGCGAGTCATGCACTGCGGAGAGTTCATGCCGCGGGAAGTTCATGTCGAGCGGTAGTACGCTCGCAGCGGGGTGTATCATGCAAAGCGGGATGAATCCGACAGAGGGTAGTCATGCAGCGGGGAGTCCTACATGAGGGTGTCATGCAGCGGGCGACAAGCCTGCGGGCAGTCCTGCCGAGGGAAGTCATGCCGAGGGCGTCCTGTAGCGGGAGTCCTCCAGAGGGTGTCCTACCGCGCGAGCGACACTTCCTGAGGAGCGCATACAGAGGGACGTCCTTGTCGCGGGTGTCATCCACGCGGGAGAGTCCTGCAAAGGCGGAGTAGTCATAGACAGAGGGTGTCATACAGAGGGAGGATGCTCGAGAGCGGTGAGTGTCATTACCGCGGGTGATCTCTCCAGAGGGCAGTCTAAACCAGCGGGCGTACAAGCACGAGGGCAGTCATGCGGAGGGTGGTCAATTGACCGCGGGCGGTACCAGCAGAGGGTTATACTTGAGATCTGAGGAGCCGGGCTCTCCTGTCTCAGCGGTCAGGACTGCCCCCACCACTGCCCACCCGGAACGAACCACAGGCCCTAGCAACCGGACTGTGTCAGATACAGTACGTCAGTCAGCTTTCATGCACAGCACCCCCACAGCCTGTCTTTTTACACCTGGATTTACCCACTGATCAGAGGAAGAAAACCTGGTCTCACCTTCTCCGGCCGCCCAGCAGCAGGCCCGTCCCCTGAGCACCCACACCATCCCCAGGCACTAACATGTCCCCGGCATCGTCACTTTGGTGTTGCGGCCACTCAGACGGTGCTCTTTCAAGTTTCTATTCATGGCGCCACGGGAAGTGCTTCTCCTTTGCTCCTCTGCAATGACAACCGATTATACGCAAACGTTGTTATCTGCTTCTTATGATTACACTCCATGAGCTTTCTTATTCACGCTCATCACCTTGTGAGTGCCCACTGGTTTCATTCCCTATCTGATCCCAACTCTCTCCTCTACCCTCTGGCCAATTGTCCTCGCTGCATTGGGTGCCATGGATCTGCACACCTACTCTATTCACCACCTCCACGCGCTGATGAAGATATAAGTTTGCGCGACGCTACGCCCCCGGACACCCCACAGCACTAATACAAAACAGGTTGAAGCGGGTAGACGTAATGTACCCAGACGGATTACACCCTAGGCCCCCCCCAGGTGATATTAATAATAATCTCATGTTTAATCATAAGAAGCAGAAACACGTTGCTATAATCTGTTTGATTTCAGAGCAAAGGGAGAAGCACTTCCTGTGGCTCCAAGAATAGACTTTAAAGACACTCTGATTGGCCTCACACCAAAGTGCATCCGTGACATGTTAGTGCCATGTGTGGGAGCACAGGGACTGGCCTTCTGCTGGTCTTCCTGAAAATGTGAGACAGGTTTCTTCTCTGACAGTGTTAAATCCAGGTTAAAAACAGCTGTGGGGTAGCTGTGCATGAAACTGACGTACTGTATCTTACCAGTCTGTAGCTAGTGCCGTGTTCTTCGGGGTTGAGTGTTGGGGGCAGTCTGACCTCAGAGACAGTGACCGGCTCCACAGATCAAGAAACCCTCTGCATGACTCCCTCTGCATGACACCCTCTGCATGACTCCCTCTGCATGACTCCCTCTGTATGACTCCCTCTGTATGACACCCTCTGTATGACACCCTCTGCATGACTCCCTCTGTATGACACCCTCTGTATGACACCCTCTGCATGACTCCCTCTGTATGACACCCTCTACATGACTCCCTCTGAATGACTCCCTCTGAATGACTCCCTCTGTATGACACCCTCTGTATGACTCCCTCTACATGACTCCCTCTGCATGACTCCCTCTGCATGACTCCCTCTGCATGACTCCCTCTGCATGACACCCTCTGTATGACTCCCTCTGCATGACTCCCTCTGTATGACACCCTCTGCATGACACCCTCTGTATGACTCCCTCTACATGACTCCCTCTGCATGACTCCCTCTGCATGACTCCCTCTGCATGACTCCCTCTGCATGACTCCCTCTGCATGACTCCCTCTGAATGACTCCCTCTGACTCCCTCTGTATGACACCCTTTGTATCACACCCTCTGCATGACTCCCTCTGCATGACTCCCTCTGAATGACACCCTCTGCATGACTCCCTCTGTATGACACCCTCTACATGACTCCCTCTGCATGACTCCCTCTGAATGACACCCTCTGCAACCCTAACCCTAACGGAGTGTTTCATGAGATCCTTTGTTCCTTTGGCTGTCAGATTGTACAACAACAACACAAGAGCCTTCTGCTGCTGGACACATGAATTTCTCTTACGGGGATCAATAAAGTGTCCATCTATCGATCAACACTCTTCAAATGTGCTGTGATTTTTTATGATTTTAATTTTTCTTTCATGTTTTGCCTTTATATGACCTGTGTTATACAAATAATCTGGCCTTCCCTTAACTGCTTATGTACATGTATATATTTGACTCTTATTAACCCTTTAATGTCGACTCCTTGATGAGAGCAATGTGTGTTTTTTTTATCTAGGATGTAGCAGAACTAATAACAAAAAGTGTATATATCTTTGAACCGCCTAGTTTTTTTTAATCATAGGCTTTAGAAAATGGTTGAGAGGCAGCTTGATGGTCGAAGTGTCATAGTGCCAAAGTGATCTAGACGCTACAATGAGGTAGATTTCAATGTTGTGACTCCACCAAATGGTTGAGGGAAGACTGTTCAAAAACACCCATCCATCCATCCATTTTGTTCCGCTTTATCCGTTGCCGGGTCGCGGGGGCAGCAGTCTAAGCAGAGACGCCCAGACTTCCCTATCCACACACACTTCCTCCAGCTCGTCCGGGGGGACCCCAAGGCGTTCCCAGGCCAGCTGAGAGACATAGTCACTCCAGCGTGTCCTGGGTCTTCCCCGGGGCCTCCTCCCGGTGGGACGTGCCCGGAACACCTCCCCAGGGAGGCGTCCAGGAGGCATCCGGAACAGATGCCCGAGCCACCTCAACTGGTTCCTCTCGACGTGGAGTAGCAGCGGCTCTACTCCGAGCTCCTCCCGTGTGACTGAGCTCCTCATCCTATCTCTAAGGGAGCGCCCAGCCACTCTGCGGAGGAAGCTCATTTCGGCCGCTTGTATCCGCGATCTCGTTCTTTCGGTCATTACCCAAAGCTCATGACCATAGCTGAGGGAGGGAACGAAGATTGACCGGTAAATCCAGAGCTTTGCCTTTCGGCTCAGCTCCCTCTTTACCACAACGGTCCGATACAGCGACCGCATCACTGCGTACGCTGCACCGATCCGCCTGTCAATCTCACGCTCCATCCTCCCCTCACTCGTGAACAAGACCCCGAGATACTTGAACTCCTCCACTTGAGGAAGGACCTCTCCACCCACCTGTAGAGGGCAAGGCACCTTTTTCCGGTCGAGCACCATGGGCTCGGATTTGGAGGTGCTGATTCTCATCCCAGCCGCTTCACACTCGGCTGTAAACCGCTCCAGTGCATGCTGCAGGTCCTGGTTCGTTGGAGCCAACAGGACAACATCGTCCGCAAACAGCAGAGATGAAATCCTGTGGTCCCCGAACCGGACCCCCTCCGACCCCTGGCTGCACCTAGAAATTCTGTCCATGAATACAGTGAACAGAACCGGTGACAAAGGGCAGCCCTGTCGGAGGCCAACATTCACCGGGAACAGGTCTGACATACTGCCGACAATGCGAACACAGCTCTGGCTCCGGTCATACAGGGACCGGACGGCCCTCAGCAGAGGACCTCCGACCCCGTACTCCCGGAGAACCCCCCAAAGGACACCCCGGGGAACACAGTCGAACGCCTTCTCCAAATCCACAAAGCACATGTGGACAGGTTGGGCGAACTCCCATGAACCCTTGAGTATCCGATGGAGAGTATAGAGCTGGTCCAGTGTTCCGCGACCGGGACGAAAACCACACTGCTCCTCCTGGATCCGAGATTCGACCATCGGCCGTAGCCTCCTCTCCAGTACCTTGGAGTAAACCTTACCAGGGAGGCTGAGGAGTGTGATCCCACGATAATTGGAACACACCCTCCGGTCCCCCTTCTTGTAGAGAGGGACCACCACCCCAGTCTGCCACTCCATTCAAAAACACCCTCCTGCAAACACACCACAGACCACAGTAATGCAACGTAAACAATAATAACAACAATTCCAACAATCCAAAGTGCTGCTGTAGTCAGAGAGGCAGCTGCTTCCACCTGCTGGAGCTCTAACTCAATGATAACAGAATGTGAAACCTGAGGCACACACTGGAGCAGCTCCGTGTCGCCGCGGTAACCTTTCTGAGGCCGCGATCTGTGCCACATTTAAGGGTTTAATGAAGCTGGTCACATGGGGTTCATTCTAGATTCACTTTTGTATTGAACTAGGGCTGGAGTTGTAGATTATTTTTTATCATGGATTAGAAGTTTGGATCCAGAGAACATCATCATAGAGAGGTTTTTGTTGCACATTGGGTTTGATTTAAAATAATAATAATGCAGTGGTTTTATACAGAGCTTTTCTGGACACTCAAAGACGCTGCACATGTCATATTCATTCTCTCCATAAACGGTGGTGATAAACTAATACAGTAGCCACAGCTGCCCTGGGGCACACTGACAGAAGCGAGGCAACCAGTCTGTGCCATCGGCCCCTCCCACCACCACCAAATTCACACACACACCAGATCATTTTTATCATTTTAATCAGTATTTTACTTATTTTCACATATGTTTTCAGGGATTTTTTCCCGTCTGGTGTACACTGGATTCCCCTGTATTTCCAATGTGGTTTTACTTGAAAAAGGCAAATAAATCCAACTTGTTTTTCCGGCCTGGTGCGGTTGAATCTCTCTGACTCTCCCGCGGCGGCCTGTCGAGTAAGACATTTATACATGGTCCTCGCTGACTGCTGTGGCACGTCAGGACATTTGGTTAAGGTAACTTGAATCTCTGCTGAAACCCACTTCAGCTGCTGGGGCTGGAAACACTGAGCGGTGCCAGACCCTCGCTCCCGGGACTGCGAGGAGCGGAGTGGCATGAGCCCCCTGGAGGGAGCCGGGAAATAGAAACTTCCAGTGAAATGAATCGTGGAGCTATCGAGTGTGCTCTGCCATAAACTGTGATGGCCTTTAGTAACGCCTCTAAAACTGTAGCACTGTCGTTAGCAAGACTGTGGCGGCTGCTTCGCTTTCTCAGGGAAATATTGTGGAGAAACTAAAACAGCAATTGCACGAGTAACACCGGTTATTTTCCAATCCTTAATAGAACCAAAGGAGACAAAGCCATTTCTGTCACTGCAAAAAATGGCTAAAAAAACCAAAGAAATAGATAAAATGGTCACGATTAGAGGAAAAGTAGCAAATTATCTGCCAGTGGATCAGGATTTTCTACAACTGGGTGGATCATCAACACTATTGGTCCTCCCATTTGTCAATCATTCTAGTGATACGTGCTCGTCCAATAAGACCAGAGAGACTTTACCTACATGTGTCTCCTTAAAGAACCAAACACCATCTCCAAACTAAGAAAGAATAGATTTTTAGATAAATATTGATACATTTTGAAGGCAGTGTTGTTTGTTTATGTAGTACTCTAATACTGATAATGCAATATTTCATTTTTATCTTTCTATTTGGATTGGCTCATTCTACACACTGTTTTTCACCGATGTACTGTACATATATTGCAGTTATAAAATACAAAACAAAACATTGAA